CTTCAAATTCTTGGTAAATTCATTTAGTTCTTGGTGAACTTATTTTATTCTTATAAAAATACACTTTATTTTTAAAGGTTCTTTGTGAACTTGTAAGATTCTTTGTGAATTTTTTAACGCTTTAGCTAACAAATAATAGTATTAGAAGATTATTTTACACTTTGCTTATTTCTCCACACTTTTTCACATGATGCAGTCACTGTTTACTGTTCTAGTAAAGACCTTCATCCGTAAAGACTACTAACAGTAACAATATAAATAATATATTAATAAAAAATTGTTAAAAATATCAGATTTTTGAAATTCAAAAAATTTTATTGTTTTTATCAAAATTCTGAAATAATATTTGATATATTTTAAAATTAATATTTTGTTAATTTGTCAAATAATTATTTGATTTATTTGAGCTTAACAAATCAAATAATTTAATTTAATTTAATTTATTTAATCTTAACAAATCAAATAATTTTATTTAATTTAAAATATTATATTATAAAATATTGCTTTATAAGTTTTTATTTATAAAATTATTTATTAATTATTAGTAAATAATAATAAGCTTCATAAAATTATTAATTAATTTCTTAAAATATTATTTTTAAAAAGTGATATATTTTAAAAATTTCACATAATTATTGAATAAACTTTTAGTACTATATTAAATCTGATAATATAATTATAAAAAGATTAATTATATAAAGAAATTTTTTTAAATATACTTTTTATAAATATATATATTATATATTTAAAAAAATATATATTATAATTCAGTTTTAAATTTATAATATTTTTAATTATTTATTTTTATAAATATATATTTTTTTAAATATATATTTTATTATTTTTTAAATATAATTTCAAGAAAATATATTTAGAAAATTATATATATATATATATTTTATATAATTTTAAACTTAAATAATTTATAAAATATTATATTACTTTTAAAATTTATTATTAAAATATTATAATTATTTTATTTTTAATTAATTTTTATATATTTCTTTTTTAATTTGTAATATAGTCAAACTCCTTTATAGTTATCATTCTTGAAAAAGCAAATTTTGATAACTATAGAAAAAATGTAATTATAGAAAGATTTTTTTATTATGTTTATATTGTTATTATTTTGAGCTTTTGCATATGAAAGTATTTTAAAATGACAATAGTAACTGTGTTCACAGTAATTTACTTTGAATTTTATAACTAAATGGTATTTATAACGATAAATGATATTTCTTGACAAGATAAAAGGTGATGAAGATAAGACTAAACTAATAACTAAAAGGTAAACTTTATCAAAAACTACTTAAAATTCCAAAATAAAATCAATTAAACATGTCAAACTCAATATTAAACCAAAAAAAACTTCAAATAGAAACTAGAACACTTAAATTAAACTTAAACTGAACCAAAAGAACTTGATTTTTATTAATTATTAGTACTTGTATGTATATATATTTTTGTATTATAGTGGCATAATGTGACACAATAATGCACAGTATGTCACAGTGTGACGCAGTATGTGGCACAGTAAATTTACACTAATATTATGAAATTATTGGTTCTCTTCTAAATTATATGAAATTTAACTATATTATAATTAATAATCTTGTTCTACATCTAAGTATCAATAACAAAAATAGAAAATAGAGACTAAATTAATATAGAAAATGATAAAATTTGCCAAGAAAATAATGTGATTAATATATTTAAATAAAGATAATAATGAAATAAATATAGAAAGATAAGTAATATGAGAAAGAAAAAGAAGAAAATAGAAAGAAATAAAAAGAAGTAGAATATTATCGAACTAATTACATAATTCAAATATTATTATGACTAATTTTTATCATAATTGCATCTTCTATTCATGTGTTCTTATATTAAATTATTAGTGATATTGAATTAGTGACAATATATAAATAAGAAAGCAAACTAGAGTAATTATAAAAAGATATATAATATTATATTATTTTAGTTTAAATTTTATTGGTATTATTATTATTTTAAGTTTTTTGTATAAAATAATTAAGAATAATAAACAATAATTAAATTTATAAGGAAATAATAATATTAAATAATTAATAAAATAAAAAATTAAGAATAAATAAAAATAAAAATAATAAAAAATATTAATATAAATCAAAAATAAAAAAATAAAAGACAAAAAATAAAAATATAATCAAATAAATTTTTTTAATTTATTTTATATTAATTTTAAGATACTTATATATTTAATAAAATTAAATTATATTAATTTATATATTTGTATAATAAAAAATAATAAAAAATATTTAATTTTATATTATAAATTTTATATAATAATTAATAAAATTATGAAATTATATATTATTATGATATGAATTTTAATATATTATATAATTTTTTATAATTTATTTTGATTGAATAATTAATTTTTATGTGATTTATAAATTAAATTTATATTTATTTCATATTATCTGCATTTTACTCATACTATTTCATTTTATTTTTATTATATTTCATACTATTTTATTTTTATTTCATATTATTTCATTCTATTTTTAATATATTTTATTTTTATTTTATATTATTTTATTCTACTTTAATTATAATTCATACTAATTATATTTAATTTATATATTATTATTAGTATGAAAAACACATGTTAATTGATCTACATAATCTAATTTAATTAATATTAATGATAAAATTTATATAATATTAAAACTTAGAAGTGAGTTATATATAAATTTTGAGTTAGAGTTTTTCAATCAAGTATTAATTACTCTTTTTTTCTTATTTATATTTTTTATTTTTAAAAAAGATTTCTTATCTATAACAAATGATATCTTCTATTTAATATAATTAACATTTTATTACTACTTTGTAAAGTTAATTAATATTATTTAAAAATCTAATAAAAGTAGAAAATATTCTTATTAAAAGTTAATTAATAAAAAAAGATTATTTAATAATAAATTATTTGAATTAAAAGAAGATTTCTAAACTTATTCTAGCTATTTAACAAAATAAATATTTCATTACTTACCTTTAGCAAATTAATCTTTTTCAATTTTAAATATTTAAAACATATAAAAATCTTTAGTTAAATATAATAACTCTCTCACCTAATCAAAATATATAAAGAATATATGATCTATACCTAAAAAATTATAAAACTAACTGAAATAATAATAATATATAATTTTATTAATAAAATATAATAAAAATTAAAAGTTTTTAATAAATATTTTTTAATTTTATATTAAAACAAAAAATATATTTTTCTAGATTTTTTAATTTTTTATAATTAAAATATAAAATTAATTATAAAAAATTTTTACAATAACTTTGTAATTTTATTAGAAAAAAATCCAAAAAAATATATGTTAAAAAATTAATAAAATTAAAAACTTTATATAAGACAAAAATTTAAATTTTTACTATATTTTATTAATAAAATCATATATATAATTTTATAATTTTATTAATTATTATATATAATAATTAATTTAATTAATTAAAACTTTTTATTTTATAATAAATATTAAAGTATATTTCAAAAAAAAAGAAAATTAAAAAATAATTTATTAATTATAACTTAATTAAAAAATTATTTTTTATTAAATTATTTTTTTTATATTATTTTTTTCTTTTTAAGTTATAATATTTAATATAAACTAAATATTTTTTCATCATATATTTGATTTATAAAAAAACCAATAGAATTTCTAATAATAAATAAAAATAAAAATAAAATATTAATAACATTTAAAATAATTTATAATATTATTATAATTATAAATTAATCAATTAAACTAATAAATTATTATTATTAAATAAAAATATATATAAAAATAAAAAAATCATATTGCAAATTGAAAAAGAGATAATTAAAAAAATAATAATAATATATTATTAATTAATTTATAATAATATATATTATTCTTTATTTTAAACTTTATTTTATTAATTAAATTAATAATATATAATAATTAACAAAATTATAAAATCATATATATATATATATATAATTTTATTTAATAAAATATAATGAAAATTAAAATTTTTGTTTTATATAAAAGTTTTTAATTTTATTAATAAATATTTTTTATTTTATATCAAAATAAAAATTATAAATTATAAATTATATTTTAATATATATTTTTTTGAATTTTTTAAATTTAATCTGACAAAATTGTTTTAATTACAAAAATTTTATAAAAAAATTTTGTAATTAAAATAATATTATTAGATTAAATCTAAAAAAATATATATTAAAAAATATTTATTAATAAAATTAAATACTTTTATATAAGACAAAAATTTTAATAATAAAATTATATTAAAATTTTATAATTTTGTTGATTATCATATATTAAAATTATAATATTTTAAACAAGAATTTAAAAAATTATAAATTTTATTATTATCAAAAAGATTATATAATCAAATTTCTTTATAGTTATACTTTTGAAAAAACAAAATTTGGTAATTATAAGGTGATATGATTATAAAGATTTTTTTTACTATATTTATATATAATAAAAAAACAAATAGAGTGATGTGACTATAAATAGATGTAACTATAAAGAGATTGACTATATATTTAATAAAAAAATCTAAACTATGTATAATATAAGTATAATAATAGATGAGAAATTAATAATAAGGACAGATAATAATGATGATATGGTTTGATAAATGAGGGTAATGGTAGTGACAATGGTGTAAAAAGAAAATTTTCTTCAATTTATAAATGATGAAATAATTCTATCCATTGATTGGTACCTTTTTAATTGGATAATAAAAGAATATTTATCAAGAGTCGAATGGAAATCAAAACAACCAAATATGTTTCAAATTGACATTTTCAAGGTAAATCCTTTTTTTTAGGTTTAAAAGCGATTGTCAAAAAAAAAGTATGTAGCGTATAAACATATATATTAACATTATTTACAGGATGACTTTGAGAACGTGCTGCGCCAATTTCATTACAGTAACCATCAGAATACAAACGCGAAAATCAGTACCAAGTAAATAAATACTTAATTTTCTGTTTTTTGGAGGAGAAATTTACTCAACTTGGTCACTGAGCATTTTAAATCTCATCAAAAAAGAGAATCTCTAAAGATTCTTGTATCGCAATTCAACGATCTGTTGCTATCCTCAGACGATGACAAATCCGACGCTGTTGGTATATCATCATTTACTGATAATACAGCATCAAAAGCACAAATATTGCATTTATTTCTGTTTAAAGCGTGGGGAGGACGACAACAACAGGAGGGACAATCTTGTGGTATTTGAATTTCTCTTTTTTTATTTGATTATGTGAATCCGTGATTATTGACATTGACATTGCTGATCAATCATTATGAATGGTTTTTTTTTAATTAAAGTTGATTTAACAAAAATCAAGGAAAAAGAATCCTCAATTTACTTGGACACGAATTTATACCTGCAACTTGTCGAATCGTTAAATTTACAGGGATATCTTGTGGAGACTTTATATAACCTCGGGGCACAAGTATTTTTTTTTAATTTATTATTTTTATAAATGACAAGAATTAGTAGAATATCAAATATTGTTTTGTTTCACATCTAGCCAGCCATATCGATATCCAAATACCTAATCCAACACCGTCCCGAATCAATAACATATTTACACCACTCAATACTATTGATTTCGAATGCAATTTCGAAGGATCAACGAATTTCGGTGCTTGGTTATCTTGGCGAGTCATGGAGTAAATGGTATTATGTGGTCCCAGGTAATTTTTACAAATATTATTAACATATTGTTTTCTTTTCATTTTACCGAATTTTAATGGATTCCATTTTTAAAAGTTAATCATCGTACGGAAATAATAAGAAACACAGCACGATACATTGAAGATCAATTAGAACAATTTTCATCATCTCATATATTATTAAACGAGAAAAAAGAAAACCAGCAACAGCATTCAAAGACTCTCGAAAATGTATACGTCAATAAAATGATGTCTTCACCTTTGTATTTGTTATCGAAGGACCACTACCATCATCAACAGCACAATACGATAACAACACGAACTAGTAGAGCAATTGATGTTGATAGTGAGGATGAATCAGAAAGGTCTTATTTGGGTTTGCACTTTTTTTGTATTTGTCAATATTATTATACTAACCAACCAAATTCTTGTTTATAATCCAATTAAACCAGTGTTCTGAATGATCTATTACCAAAAGGCGAATTTTCACAAGAAAAAGACCATTTATCAAATACAAAAATTATACTTTTGCTTATATCTACTTTCAATGTTATTGCATTCAAAGCTTGGGATGAAAATAACAATAATGATGATCAGTCGAGATCCTCTTTATTTGCAATTATCAAGAGACTTGTATTGAAGCTGGAAAATTGGGGTATTTTTTTTCAGTCTTTAAGCTGTATATTGTTATTTTTTTTAATTTTCTCTTTCTCACACATGTGGTAATAACAAAAACAAAAGAATTAGCGGGCTTAATAAAAGATAAACCTGAAATCAAAAAACTTCATGAATTCATCGCCAATAATAACAATGTTGGAATATCGAATCTAAAAGAAAATGACAATGATGATGGGATTAATTCTTTGACGATGGTAAATACACCTGTATTCTATTTAGGAGTATTAACAGTTTATTAATTGTTGTTACTTTATCGTTGGCATAAGTCTAAATCCGCAAGAAAAGAAAAGATCAAAAAGAGGTGAAATGACTATTGCTACTCTTTCCAAAATAAATATAATAATGAATATACACTAAAATTTCTCAATTCTCCCAAATCAAAAAATAGATACGAACAAATAAAATCCCCAGAACCCACTTACACTCTCAATTCAAAAAAACAAAAAAACCAACGATTAACAAAACACGAGCTTGCATTCATACAAATTTTTAATCACATCCGCAAACAAGCATCAGAAGACGATGATAATGATAATGGGATCAGTTCCTCATTCTCACGAATACTGCAAAATTCATTAGACTACCCTCCATTACCTATAACATCTACAACAAGAGAATACACCAAAGAAGAGTTAGAAGTATGTCGTAATTGGATAATTCAGTGTATTCGTCTTCGGTGGCCGGGATACGTTTCGTTTTTCGAGCTTTTGATTCAATTTGTTGATTTGTTTGCAGGGTAACTAATAAATTATAAGGTATAAATCCGATCCATTTAGATAATTCATATAATACTTTAAACTTTAGGAAAAAAGAATTCACCACTATTATCGAATTCAAAGATCTGATCATACACCACGGACTACAACTTGAACTGTATAAAAGCATCAAGAAACTGGCAAGAATCTATACCACAAATTCTGCAATGTTGGAATTGAATATAATGACGGTGGGTGTTAACTAATTTTTTTTTGGATTTCTATTCTCGAAAATAATAAAATATAATGTGAATTAACTGATTAGGATTCCGTTACGTTATTCATAACGGTATTATCGTCGTTGTCTGTCCACACGAGACTTGTATTTCGAGACCTTGTGTTTAATGATAGGTTGGTAATTTCATTATACTAATTTATTACTATAATGAATATTATAACACCTATGACATTTTTTTAACTTATTCCCAGACCGTTAAATCTTGAAATAACCGCGCCAACATTCAATTCGTGGCCTATCTGGCCTTTCGAATTCACCAAGCGGCTCACAAGTGTGTGTAATCAGATTGTTTCGGCTATAGTGAATGTTCATCGATCTTCAAGTGGTGATATCGGTAATGGTAATATGGAAGAAGAACGAGATCTATCAAATATAACTAAAAGCATACAATCGGGTATTATTGATTCGTTAATCGAGGTGAGTGTTTTCCTTTGATTATCAATTTTATTATTATATAATATCAAAATCGCATATTTGACTAAACTAATTTTTTTATGAACTTTACGAAAATTTTCAAATAAATTAATAATCACAAACAACCAATAAAAATAAGTTATCGCTCATTTCTCCATACCACGTACTCGAAAAACTCGTGCACGAAGCAATACGAAATAAAGGTCAAGCGCGTGTGATCCTAAAGATTTTGCGAAAGCTCGGAAATTTGTGTTGGCTTCGAAAGAAAACATTAGTCGAATCACCACCGCCTTCAACAGCTATATCATCATCAACAACACTGATAATGATTGTGCTAAAAGATATTTTGAATGGTATTGATAATGATTATGCTGTTGATGATGATAAAGAAGAGGAAGGTGGTTTTCGTAGTGGCGGTGCTATTAGTCTTTTAAACCAATTCCGAGAACAAGAGCAAAAGAATTATTTAGAATTTGTTTATTATGGAGTGTTATTAACGGTATTGTATCATTGATGAATATTATTATTTGTCATATAATATTACTACTTACTCTTTCACCCATTCTACATTTTAGGATAACAGTGACAATAAGACTTCAATTAAATTGGAACCAACAGGAATTGGTGAGCCAGATAAAAAACTAATTGATATTCGAGAATACCTCGTCGACTGTGTGATTCCATTTCTTAGATCACCATCGACATTACCACTACAAGAAGGCGAAACAGTTGATCCTCTTCATCGTCATCATAACATTACGCTCGACTTGTCAATTGCCATTCTTCAGAAATGGTTTCATTCATCAGTGATTTCTTCATCCCCACAAATATCACCCAAACCTTCTTGGTTCCTACACGAAAGACCATTCTGCCTACTCTCGAAACTGGTATTGCTTCTAAATCTGAGACGATACCGCGCGAAATATGGGTTGACAATTAAACAGATCGATGAGTTTTATGATGTTGTCAAGAGTGTGGCGGGTGTGATTATGGGATTTGGGATTCGTGATAATGACGGTAAGTTATTTAGACCAAAGTGTTTTCGCTTAGTTTGATTTAGTAATTTTTTATTGAAAGAACGTCAATTATAAAACTTCTTTAGAAATTATTCAAATGAATATGGAGGACGTGCATCGATTTTATAAAGAATACAAGGAATTGGGTATTTTATATGATTGATAATTAATTTAGTATCCATACGAAAAAATATATTATACTCCTGATCAATCAAAACGATTGCTCAAAATATTTAACACAGATTGGACAGTCAAACTCTTGCTACACCCATTCATGCAATTCTGCATCGACATCTTCGGGTTCGGACTCGATCTCGGCAATAAAAATAACACTGCATCATTATCGGCAGTTTCGCTTCCGTCTTCTTTAATTAGTTTTTGTGAATTGTCTAATAAAGATGACGGTGGTAATTACATACCAATTGATGAAGAAGAAGAGGAAGAAGAAGATTCTCAGACATCTATGGTTAAGCGAATAAAACAAGTGATAATGTTCCTAGAAGCCTGTCGTGTTTCTGATGAGTGGTTGAGTGTGTTTTGCTCGGTATGTATGCGATGTTTGTATTTCGGATATACAGAACGAATTTATTTATCTTATATACACTGACTCGATCGATTTTGTGTAATAATAAAATTAATATAATAAACTCACAAAAATATGAAATAACAAACACAAAAAACAGTCACTCAACAAATCACCTCACATACCACGCACAGAGCTACGCGATCTATTTCTCAGAATTGGACCATACGCATTCTGTACGGTCCTTTCGACTAGTGTTGAAGAGGAATCGCAACGAATATTAACTACTTTTTTGAAGGAGTTGATCTCGTGTGGGATGATATCTGTCAATGAGTTGTTGGGTTTGCGGGTAGTTGAGAGCACTGGTAGTGATCAGTCGTTGGCTTTTTTCGAATCGAAAGTCGTCGATTCTCTTGATATGGCTGGTAATTTTTCAATTACGTGAATGTTTGCAAGATGAGTTTTTGATTCTTTTCTAACTATTTATTTTTTATCATAAAATAAAAGAGCGTATTCAACTGGCTTGCCTGCGATTTACAACACTCAATGTTTTGTCGTGTCTAAGTAAGCTCTGTAGTACCGAATCATCCCAAAACTCACCATTACAAGAACGTGGAATCAGTGATGTTTGGATACTACAAAATATCGTAAAAGCGATAAAGGTAATTTTCTGATCCGAATCAAGCCTTTTATTCACACAATTTTATTAGATTCAATTAAGTTATTTACGTATTAAAACTAATTAATTTTATATGATAGACACTTGTTCCCACAACATCCGGTCTAAACTACCTGGTCCTAGCATTCACATCAATCGTCTACGGCCTCGAAAATCTGGTGAATGCGTCGTTACCGAAATCCGAGGAAATTTTGTATATTTGTTTGTTTGGTGTTGTGGAGATGGTGGCCGAAAAGCTGCAGCAAGAAAAACAAGAACAAGCACTTGTTAAAGAAGAACGTGCAGTTTCCACGGAAAAAGAGCTTGTCAAACAACAGCAGGAGGACATTGAAAAGAAAGATGAATCTGTTAATAACAACGATATCATGATCCAAGAACAAGAACAAAAAGAACAACTACAAAAATGGCGTCATTCGCTAATACACGAAGCGATCTCAAGAGTAAAAAAAGAAGGTGGATGGCAAAACGCTGTTATTGGCGGTCTAGGTTTATCTTCGCTATCTTCGTCAAAATCAGTGCGTGGTAGTAGTAAAAGCGGTAGAAGTAAATCTAGAAAAAAGACTAGTGGGCCTCATTAATCATTCAATGTGTAACTATTTCCATAGCATGATAATTTTGAAATATATAGAGTATCAATGATAAAAGTGTTTCTTTGAAGATATAATCTTCCTTTTTATTTTTAGATAAATTATTTTGATTTACTCGGAAAATTATCTATTCTAGATAGTAATTCATTTTCTCAATTATTTTTACTAACAATTATTAAATATATTCTACCGATTAACCAACATCAAAGCCAGCACAACTCCACCAATAGCACCCACAATAGCACCAGCCCAGAACGTTACATCATCCAATGGTATTGCATCATTGTTCTTGATAATAATATTCTTGTTCTCGATTTCTAGTAATAACAATTTTTGTAATTCGGCTATTTCCTTAATCATGTCTTCTTGTCCTTTTACAAGGCCAATAATAGGAACTAATAATTGTTCATTTCCATCATCATTACTATTATCGTTATTAGCACTATCATTATTAGCAAATATCTCTGCTCCTGCTGGTGCTATTGGTGGTGACGATGCTATCTGCATTGATGGAGGTAATGACCCTCCACCATTACTGTTATTAAACTTTGTCAACAACAAATCTTCAAACTTATCCGCCAACTTTTGCCTCTTCATCGGTTCAAACACAGTTTGCACACAAATAAACAAGACCACGTTCAACGCCATTAGCCCAATAGTCCCATAAGTGGATGCACTTCGAATCTTATCACTCCAAATCTGTTCCTCGTGATACCGCAACATGATCGATTTAGTCAGTTCTGTATACTCTTTTTCGACCTGTTTCTCGCACTCGATGTATTCTTCTTGAGCTGCGGCCTCTGTTTGCTCGTTCAAATGTTCGGTGCGATACAATGCGGTGAATCGCGTCACGTCCTCGTGGGTCCATTGGTGTTTTCGTTGGAGGAGATCGTTGATCTCGTGTTGTGTTGCGGAGCGAGCGGCTATTGCATCTTCGTAGGCACGTTTTGCGAGGGATAAGCGTTGTCGTGTTTTGAGAAATTCGTTTTCTGGTATTAATTTGAATAGATCATGTTAATCGTTTATGTTATATCACCTTATTATCTGATAAACCTTAGATTGATTGAGGTTTGATTAGATCAATTTAAACTAAACAATAATTAATTAATCAATCACCTTGTCTAATAACTTTTTCTTTCAACTTCTCAACGTCCGAATACCCCGTAAATTCATTCAACGCCTTCGACGCGGCACTGAGCGCCTCCTGCTTGTCCTTTGTTTTAACCGCGTTCTGGAGTCCGCGTACATGTTCGAACCAAGGTTTCTCGCGAACTTGTTTTATTTGTGTAAGTACTTGCTCTTTTGAGGTTTGTAATGTCGAGAGGACGGGGGATAAAAGTTTGTTGGTTTTATCTTTGATGCTACTTTCGTAAATGTCCCTATTGTTTTTAATATTGTCAATGGTATTATTATTGTTGGTATCTTTCTCGAAGGTCTTGGCTTCTTTCTCGAGATTAGTATCGCTCTCTAGATTAGTGTTATCGCTCTCTCTATTAGTTCCCTCATTATTAGTAGTAGTAGTAGCAGCATTGGTATTATTAGAATTCTGCGAAATATGTTCTCCCGGTTTTGTAAAGGTACTAAATCCCGAGTATCTCGTAGTTCTCGGTATTGTTAGTTGTGTTAGTAGTGTTCTTGTAGCTGCTGTGGTTGGAGTATGACCACCACCTTCCACAAAATATCGGTTGTTTGTTAGTATCGCCCTTGTATTTCTTTTGGTTCTACTGATATTAAGCGTAGTAATAGCAGAGACTCTCTTATGGATAATAGAAGACAGTGTGTTTTTACACACTCTCGATGAATTGCATATTATTGGAATAATATCAATATGAATCATAATGAATCTAACGCTAACTATACAACTTTGATTTTATCAAACTCTAACCCCTCCCCATTTCAATTAATTAATTAATTAATTAATTAATTAATTGTACAGTCAAACTTTTATCGTCACCCTTTTTTCTGGTCGGATTTGTTAACCAACAATAAAAGTTTGATTATCGTTATAGACCAAGTTTCGTCAATAATATCGATATATGACGACCTTCGGGTTAACAACGTGTCGATCAAATTTTTTATGTTTCAACTTTGCACAAAGAACACCAAACCCAATGGCACAGTCAAGCATTACCTTTTGCCTTTAGTGAATACACCCTTCAATGAATTGCGAGATCGTTATTTCAAGATCATCAAATCAGAAAACAGTCAATTTGATGAAATGGAGCATTGGATCATGTCATTGAAAATCTTGTAGTAACGACGTTTTTTCTCTAGATTTTTCTTTTTAAATTTAATACCAATCATGATGTTAGACACAAAGATAATGTAACATTACGAATTTTCTATGTAAAAGAACGAGATAGAGATAACATCATTATCATAGCACACACATCAAAGAAAAAAGCAGTAGTTTAGTAATAATGTAAAGAACAGTGCACCAATTAGACTAATAAAGAAACCAAGAAAATTTCCATTTTGAACACAAATTAATTAATTTAAACAATTGTCTCGAACACAAAACACACAGATTACGAAATACAACACGACACAACTGTCGGGCGGAGACGGATGAATAAGAAATTGCCCATGATAGAAAAAATTCATCAATTTTGAACAACGGTAAATAACTAAACAGCCATTCATACGAGTAAATATACACACACGTGTTTTTAAAATGCCTATATACGCAATACAAAAAAAGGAACTCCAGCTGAATTCCTAATAAGTGTTGGTACAGTCTCGATGCGACAATCTTCATCTTTTCCTCCAGACACGCATTTACATACTTATTCCTAACCCTACTTCATCGTCGCCACCACCACCACCACCACCATCACTACACCTACTACCACATTTTTTTATTATTCGTCTGCGACGGGAAACTTTAAATCTCGGCATTCCCTGCATACAACAATTTTTACTACTATTACAAACACATTTTAAATCACGATGCGCTCTTCAATAATCTTTGTCTTCTCACTTTTCTTTGCTCTTGTTTTCTCGACAGCCTCAGCGGCTGACGGCAATTCTTCGTCATCAGCAGATCCAAAAGGGTGCTCACAGTGTTGGGTGTCTGCACGAGGAAAAATTCAAGAATGCACATCCATTTCACAAACAGAGCTTTCATCGTTTTCCGATGCTTCAGACACCACACTTGCTCAAAACAGCGCTAACTACCCCACACTTATCCCGTGTCTATGTACTCTAGTCAAGAAGATTGACAGTATACTCTCTGGTTGCTCGGCGTGTTCGGGTGATCTTGGTACGGGACTAAAGACCGAAGCCTTGATTGTGGGGCAACAAGTATGTGGTATAAAAAAAGACTCGACAACCAATGATTCGACTGATGTTTCATCGTCGTCTTCAAGTTCTGACTCATCGGCATCGTCAGAGAACTCGAATGGTGACGTTAAGACAGCCTCGTATTCTACTGCGTCATCGTTATCATCGCCTAGTTCGTTAGTTAGTTTGACGCTTGCACTTGTTGCCGCTTTAATATTTACCCTTTGATGGATGATTGTTATAGACGATTATTATCACTATATGATCATTTATAAAGAGAAAAAGAATAGATAAATGTTTAGATAGAAATGAATTCACTCTCCCCCGTAATTTTAGATGAATTTATATTTATTATTATTATTATTCTTTTTCTTTATATTCGCTTTATTTATTATTTAATGTGAAGTTTGTTAAGGGGTAAATTATTATTCTTTCTTTCAACAAAAAGGAAAAGCCATCCGACTGGGTTTCGGATCTGAGCTTTTTATTAGTATAGTGGCTATTGTTATTTTTTTCCACGGATAGTATATGGGCGGTGGTTTAATAATTATCGATGGTGTAATATATGTATTATTAATATCACTTGTTAAGTTGGCCCGTAAATTATCATAAATTCGTCAATTGACTATTTTATTATTATTTTAAAATCATCAAACCGTGGAGAAAATTACATCCAAACCTTTGTAGTATAGATTAATTAACTAATGAGGTCGGCCTTGTCTTAATTTCTTTTTTTTCATTATTGTTATATTAATATGTATTTTTACAGTAGTTATTATTTTTTTCTTTCCGTCTTTCATTATTATCATTCATCATATATATATAGTATTTACATATTCAAACCCTTCTTTTTCGCGCTACATATACACTGTCTGGAGGAAACCTCCTTCTTAATCAACTATTACCAATTCACCATCATCATCATATTTTCGCCAACCTAATCAACAACATAATACCCGATTACCTTTTCATTAGAAATTCTCATCAGGTCCTTTAATATATTTCTATAATAAAAAATGTGGAGTTTTTTATTAAGTGTTTTTTATGCATGATTTATGTATTATTGATTTTGGAAGAGAAATTTGTTTTTATCCATCCAAAAAAAAACTAAACAATTGCCAACTTAATCAATATGTCGTTCTCGCTCTCTAGAATCATCATCATTCTCAAACAGAATGCTGGAAATAATTGACAGACGCGAAACTTTAAAGAAAATTGAAGATTGAGGTAAGCGACGGAAATTTGTAGAGTCAATACAAAATAAAAATGCGCTTGATCTTTGCTGATACGAGAAATTAATTATGGGTTCTTAATAGCAACTTTTTGTTTTCTTGATCAGCTTGCCGTCAAGCCTCCGCTTACTATGGTAGGTCTGCTATTTTTATTGACAGTACACTATGTCTGTACTCTTTCTTTTTATTCCCTTTACCATCATGCCATTGTGTTACTTGTGGCTGAGATACTATAGATGCCGCTGACTTCTTGCCCTTCGTATCTTTTTTTCCGAACGACGGGACTTGGAGGTGCTACGGTTTATATGAAGGGCGAATAGACATAAAAAAGTTACTGAATTTGGAAATTGAAGATTCTAGTTTGATGTTACAAAAATTGATATTTCCGATTTAAAAAATATTGTCGAGTTTGAAGAGGTTAATGTTACCTTATCTCACAAAATCAATGTTTTTCACCTTGCAAAAGTCAGGTTCGGGTCAAGAATTATTACGGGAAAAAAATCTTTTAATGCAACTTCAATCACGATCAATTAAATAAAATCTCCTCTGGAGGATTGCAAGATCTCCAATTCGAGAAACTACGTAGAATCATTGGACGGCGTAATATCTCGAGTCGGAAACTGGCGTCAAGTTTCTCATTATGTATCCCGAATGGACTGATACCTTGTACTAAGTAAATCTATGAAAATTTTCTAGACTGTTTAAAGGTTTTTTTCTACGGATGGTCGATCGAGGATGTGATATTATTCTGTGAGCTGCTTTTTCTAGAGAAACTGAAAATATTCAGAGTGGTTCATTTTATTTGATCAGGAAGTTGTATCTCCTCATTTGTCACTTGCTCAGACTTGCTGGCGAACTTGAAATTTATGGATGTTGGATTAAGATGATTTCAATTGATACTATTGACTGAAATTTCGTATTTATTATAAATAATTTATATTTTATTTGTAATTCTTTATTTATTGATTTATAATTAAGAAAATTAAAATTTTCTCATCTGGTAACTTCATGAATAGCCTCTGCCAGATATTTGACATTATGTGATGAGATACCAGCGAGTGAGATTCGTCCATCTTTGGTGAGATAAACATGAAATTCTTTGGTGATACGTTCAACCTGATAATAAAATAATACAATGATTAAAAAGAATCGTCATCATAAGGTATTGCAGAAAATAAAACATCAAGTACCTGCTGAGGAGTCAATCCAGTAAAACAAAACATTCCAATTTGATCAGTGATATGATTCCAAGGATGTTTCGATCCAACATCGTTGACTAAATGATTTTTTAGTTTATCTCGCATTGTGATAATACGATCGGCCATTAATTTTACTTCGGAAAGCCTATTATAGTTATTTATTTACTAACTTAGCAAAAATATTGTTGTTTCCGAAAAATATTAATTTACTTACCATTCTTGATTCAACTCTGAATTTCCCAACACATAACTAGCGATTCTCGCACCATTCAGTGGCGGATTCGAATACATCGGTCTTATAAGGATCTTTAATTGTGAATCGACAACCGTTTTCTCTTGTGGACTGGACGTGATAATTGAGAATGTTCCAGCACGTTCGCCGTATAGCCCCATATTTTTCGCAAACGATTGTGCTAGTGCAATGTGGTGACCGTCAGATACGAATTTACGTAATGCGTATGCATCACGATTGGTGTCTCCTGATGCGAATCCTTGATATGCCATATCGAAGAATGGAAAGTGTTCTTGTTCCTTTTGAGAAAGGATTTATTAATTTTAAGTAGATTACATAAATTTTTATTCCAAAAGAAGATATATACTTTAATAATATTTGATATTTCGTCCCATTGTTCTCGAGTTGGATCTACTCCAGTGGGATTATGTGCGCATGCATGTAGTAGGAAAATTGAATGTTTTGGAGCATTCTGTGGATTTTAAATTAAAATAAACATATTTTACAGTTTATGGATTTATTCTGGTCATCATCCGACCCACCTTCAAATCCTCCAGAAGACCTTTGAAATCTAGCCCAATTGTACTCTTGTCGAAATATCGATAACTAGCAACCTCCAATCCGGAGTCTTTAAACACTGCATTATGATTACCCCAAGTGGGAGTGGGAAGATAGATTTTTTTCGCGTGTGGGTAAAATCTCGAAATAAAAGTGCCACCTATACGCAGAGCACCCGTACCCGAAATAGATTGGGTAGCTGCGATCTATGAAAAAAAAATAAACAACGTTGAATTTCAATTCAATTCGGATTTTGATTATCGAACAATCATTAATTAATTCACTTACCCTTTTTTCAATTAATGGAATTGAATCTTTACCGTATGCCAATAAAGCAGCACTCTGAGTGAAACTGGCGAGACCATTGATAGGCAGGTATTCTTTATCAAGTTTATCTTGAAGAATCAATTGTTCTGCCTTATAAAAATAAATTAGGAATCGTCAATGCTAATTAAATATTTTTAATCAATGTACGAGATCACCAAACGACGTACTTTTCGCACAGCACTCAACACATAAGGTTTACCACTATCATCTCGATATGCACCCACACCCAAGTTCATTTTCTTCGGGTCATTATCAGCTTTGAAAGCCTCGGTGATACCAAGGATCGGATCAGCAGGACCTTAATAAATGATATGAAAATGAAGGATGCTCAATCACGTTTTTTGATTGATAAATTCTTTGATCTTTTTAGTTTTCGAAATATCAACTTTGTACTACATCGAATTCAACGATAAAAAGTTTCAACCTTCAAATAAATAAATATAAGTAATATACCCTGTGGAACATTAGCCCAAGTAGATGCGTTACGTAAAATTGCAGAGGTAAAAGAGAAATAATACAGGTTCGCGCGTGCACGAGATATGCCAGAAAAACGAGTGGATAACATTTTTTGAAAAATAAACTGACAATCAGGAAAAATAAAATGTCAATAACGATAAGCTGACAATCAGGAAAATTAAATCTTAATGATTTACCTGGCGCATGCATTAATGTTAATTAATTTAAAATTTGATATTTGTGATCTACATAGATGCTATTGACTTTTCGCTCTTCTCTTCATTTCTCAAAAATACTCTGTAAAAACAACACCACCGTTCTTAAAGAAAACATCATTTCACTTTCTTCGAAACTAAAATACGAAAAAATGGCGACCTTTACAACGTATAACACGGAGCTTTACGGTCTTGAACCTTCTACTTTTAAATTTACGCTTGATAATATCGTAGATCCACAATTTGAAACAAGTGACCAGAATGCTCGCAATGTGCTTTCAAGAGCTGCAACACTTTTGGCTTCAGGAGAAGTTGTTGCAATACCTACAGAAACAGTTTACGGACTAGCCGCGAACGCGCTTAGTTCACAAGGGATTGCAAAAATTTATTCTGTAAAGAATCGACCAGCAGATAATCCGTTAATTGTGCACATTTCTTCGCTGAAAATGCTACTTTCAATCTTTCAAGAAGATATACCAGCAATATACCTTCCACTCATAAAGAAATTTTGGCCTGGACCATTAACGATACTTTTACCAAAACCCAATATAATACCTAATGAAGTCACTTGCAATCAAAAAACTGTTGCTATTCGATTTCCGTCTCACCCAATTGCTCGCGCATTAATAACGGAATGTGGGTTTCCTCTCGCAGCACCTTCCGCGAATATTTCTGGTCGTCCTTCACCAACTTTAGGTATACATGTGCTCAACGATCTTAATCGAAAAATAACAATGATAATTGACGGGGGTCAGTGTAAGTCAGGTGTAGAATCTACGGTGCTTGACGCGATAAGTAATCCAAAACAGCCAGTTATTTTAAGGCCAGGCGGAATTACCTTTGAAGATTTAGTTGTGATGCCGGGGATGAGTGAGTTAAAAGTATACAAAAAGGATTTTGTGGATGAGAATCTTGAAAGGGCACCATCCACCCCTGGAATGAAATATAAACATTACTCACCAGATGCTAAAGTTATTCTAATTGATGCCATAATACAGGATCAGAAAATGCAAGTGGCCATTGAGAGAGAAATCAACGAAATTAGAAAAGAAACTGGTAAAAAGAGAATCGGACTATTGAAAACCACTTTGAAAAATTTTCTAACTGAAAGTCCTTATTATGCTTTCGTGAATTATATCGAGATTAATAATAATAACAAAATCATTAATTATCATTTAAACGATGCGAATTATGCTGATAATAATATTTTAATCGATTCTATTATCAAAGATATGGATTTGATTGTTTATAATTTAGGTGATTCGATTAAACACCCGGAAGAAATTGCTCGCGAATTATTTAAAAGTATGAGATATTTAGATGAGTTAAAAGTAGACTATATTATAGTAGAAGGCGTATCTGAAGAGAAAGAAGGTCTAGCTATAATGAATAGATTAAGAAAAGCTGCATCTAAAATTATTCGTGAATGAATATCGATATTCAAATAATAAAAAGAAAAAATTTATTCATAGATGATCTATTGCTGACGTCATCCGAAAAAATGTTCAAAGATTTTTGTTTCGCCCAATTACGATTCCTTCTCTTTTTCTTCATTAATTTATTCTACCTGCTATTGTCGACGATATGGTAAGCAAAAGTATCTATAGTAGTTTCGTGCCATCCGTTTTCTTGGAAAGATTGTATTTTTGATTGATGATAATTATGTTGGGGAATGTAGCCGTTTGTCAAGCAGGTCAAGAATAAAGGTATGTATAGCATGCAGTTTATGCATTTGATAAAGAAAACTATAGATTTAATGATGGATTTTTATATTATTGTTGAATAGCGTACTTTAAGCGATTTCAAGTCAAATATCGCAGAAGACGCGGTGAGTCTTTTACTTTTGAGATAATCGTAGTATTTATAGAGAAAATAAGTATACTTGAATATCGTATTCTACCAAAATACTGCATTTAAGTGATGATAATATAGTTCAGCTGAAACCACTGTGTTGAATAAACATTGTTCTTTCGCTCCTATCTGACAATAATAAACAAACAGTAATGATAATAAATTTCCAATATCATCGAGAGAGGAAAAAAATATTGGATCGAATCAAGCAATACTACTAATAATAATAATCTAGGACTAGCTAACCGGATTTTTTTGAATTTAACAATTTTTGGGATTGTTTTAAATCAGATGGCAAGACTGATTATTATGCACGGAAAAGACTTGTCGTTCAGGCCAAAAACAGATATAATTCGCCGAAATATCGATTGGTGGTTCGATTTACGAACAAAGATATTTTTGTGCAGATAGTTTATGCAAAATTACAGGGGGATTTCGTGCTTACGTCTGCTAATTCACATGAATTGCCAAAATACGGTATTAAAGTTGGACTAACAAATTGGGCAGCCGGTAAGAAAATCAATTATAAACATTTTTGATATAATTTGAAGATAATGATGGAGTTTCAAATATTATTATTTATATAGCATACGCCACAGGCTTGCTTGCTGCTCGACGTGTTTTAACGAACTTAAATTTGGCCGACAAGTACGAAGGTGTCGTAGAACCAGACGGCACCATCGCACCAATCGAACCACTCGATGATTCACCACGTCCATTCAAAGCATACCTCGACGTTGGTCTAAAACGCACATCTACAGGCTCAAAAGTATTTGCCGTGACGAAAGGTGCTTCCGACGGTGGTATCTTTATTCCTCACTCGGAGAATCGGTTCCCTGGTTACAGTACCGAATCGAAATCACTCGATTCCGAAGTACTACGAAAATATATTTATGGGGGTCATGTGGCCGATTATATGCGTTTGTTGCAAGATGAGGACGATGATCGTTATAAACGTCAATTCTCGCAGTTTATTGAGAAGGGTGTTACGGCTGATGATTTAGAAGATATTTATAAGAATGCGCATGCTAAGATTAGAGCTGATCCGTCGTTTGTTCCCACTAAAAAAACGAAAGATTATAAGACAGCGTTTGCCAAGGTATATTTTTATTTTTATTTGTATATTAATTTGCGATTTTGACAAGAAAATTTTTATTTACATGATATTTTTCTTAATTAATTATAGTACCATAAAAAACGTTTGAATCTCAAACAACGTCGTAATAAAGTTCAACAAAAGATTGCGGCATTCAAACGTGCACAAGCTGCCGAAGGAGAAGAATAGATTTATTAACGGTTATAATTAAAACTACAAAAATGACAATGACAATAATATATAATTATTTATGATGAACGAACGACTAAATATATGAATTACTGAAAGAATTAGGGAAGATTGATCGCCAAACAGGACAAAAATCAATTATTCTTAATAAAATTCTTAAAAGGAATAATTATTTGTTATTTGGCATTGGAGAGTCACGTAATAATCGTATTTGTATAGCATAAGAATTTTGATTCTTTGTATAAACATCAATAAACAAAATCTTTGTTCATAAAAATGCATCAATCATAATAATCCGATACGGTCAGTTAAAAAGAAAACTGTCGGTCTAGTTAAGGATATTACACAACATACAGAATCTTAACCAGCATTTACACCTAGTAGTAAGGTACTCTATTATATAAATTCAACTGTAAAATACTTGACATAACCAATATGGTTCAGAGATCAATAAAAACATGGATATTGAGCTAACTGATAAAATCCAATTTTATTAAAAAATTCCTCTTACAGATTGATAAAACTGTAATTCTGTGAGAATTTATTTTATTTAAAAATAAAGAATTCTGATTGGTTAGATTGATATTATCATGATCGACCAATAAGAATTTAATGTGATTGTCCAATAAAATTATAATAATTCATGTAAAATTTCATTATATAACATTATTATGAATTTTTAATACGTATGGATCTATCTAATTGTAACAATTGTTACATGTAACAACTTCAATATTAACCAATCACACAACCAGAACCCTAACCCTAAAATGCAGTTGTTACAAATACATTTATTCTTGAAATAATTGTAATTGAACGATTATGGGAATAATCGGATGAATATATAAAATAGAGTTTTTTTTCCTTTGAGTTGTACTTATCGTTATGTATGTAATACAATACAAATCAAATTTCAGGTCTCAGTCTATGGTATACATCTATTACTTGATCATATGAGTGCCCCAGTCTAAAACTGTTCACTCTTACACGTGCTATCAATAAATGATGAGCAGGAAATTATTTGCTTTTCCTTGTTCATTGCTGACACAAAGACATAATCATCATAAACGAACGTATCTTAATTTTACTAATAAGTTAAAAAGATTTTCGATTGATGAAACTCATCATAAAGGATATAGTAATCATTTAAAAGATGGTGATGATGATAGTAATAAACGGAAATTACCAAAGATGCTATTGTCATCGTCGTATCTGTTGTCAAGTTCCCTTGAAACAGTACAATCACCGGCACCACCAAATACACCAGCAATAGAGTTTTCTTTTTGGAAGTTGGCGTTAGTGTTTGTGGGAGTTCCTTTTTGCGTGTATCTCTACAAGGTTATTATCAATTATTAACGGAGAATCCAAAATAATTTATTGATTTTCTTTCTTTTCTTGTTTCAATAGTGCGCAGTTCTAATCCTATTCCAAAACAAGTTAATATATATGCCTTATTTCCCACCTGGATCTCGTAGCGAATTACTTAATGTATCAACGATAGACAAGAGATTAATATGCAAACAAATTGAAATTTTAACAAAAGATCGGTGTAAACTTTCAGGGGTTTTTATTCGTAACAAGCCACTTAATTATGAAGATCACGGAAATACAAGTCCGTATGGTGTTCGGGACACGGATCCAATATTGATTTATTTTCAAGGGTAAAAAAAATGATGATTCTTTTTTAATGTTAGAGAAGTTTAACGAAATCATTTTCCTGATTTAGCAATGCAGGAAACGTAATAGTTCGACTTCCCATATTTATGTTGACACTTTTATCAGCAAGGAATGGTCAATTAAGCAATTTAACAATAATTGCACCAAGTTATCGAGGTTATTGGCAATCAACCGGCAGACCATCTGAACGTGGTCTTCAATCAGATGCTATTGCCGTCTACGAATACATTCATCAAAATTTCCCTACAAATCCACTTTATCTTTATGGTCATTCATTGGGAGGCAGTGTCGCAATCTATCTAGCGAAACAAATCCAAGACTACAACAATAATCATCAATTACGAGGTATAATCCTTGAGAATGTATTCACCTCAATCAAAGACATGATAGTCACAATATACCCACAAAAATGGTTACCTTATCGATATCTCATCAACTTTCCATTTCTGATTAGAAATAAGTGGGATAACGTTACCATGATCCGGGAGATCAATGTCCCAATCTTATTCTTGTCGTCACGTAACGATGAAATTGTTCCGCAAAAACAAATGCGTCAGTTGTATTTGGTCGCGGAAAAGACACCGAAAAAAATATGGAAAGAGTTTAGGAATGGATTACATCAGGATACTTTTTTGCAGAATGGATATTCAGAGGGAATTATTGAATTTATTAGAAATACATTGGAAAAAATTTAAGCCAATAAAAATTATGTAAATTAAAAAACGATCCCGACTTTATGAAAATCGATGGCACATTGTATTTGTGCACATCACTAATATCTGTCTATCACTTAATATAACATCGGATTTTCCAAAGTAACTTTCCTGAGAAAAAAAATTACCGATCACATAATCAATGATCTCAACGTTTCACCAACAAACAAAAAATTTCATCGTTAAAGCTCTTCTAGAATTCAGGTACTTGTAAAAATATAAATACATGACTCTGTTCAATAGTGTAAAAGTCAAAAAGTTTTAGTGCTCTTTTGTTCAAAGGTTAAATGTCAATCTCTATATTGTCAGTTCGTTTGCAAATAGTCTCAATACCAAAGAATGTCTTCCGCGCTAGTAGCACACATGCAATCCTACGAAACATCTTTTTCCCGACAAAGTAAATTTTGCGATATTACTGAATTCTAACAGTATGCATTACTGCTGGACTTGTATGTAACTGTAACGAATAATATTGTTTTAGGGACCAAACACTCTTCTCTATTACCGAGACAGCGCTTGAAGTGTCCGTTATCGCTGACGTCGATTCTATCCAAAGAGACTTCATTCCACTTAAGTCTATTAGACCTGACGTAGAAATCACTAAGAACGTGTTTAAAGCCTTGATTTTGGAAAATGATGATGGTTTAGGTCAATTTTTTCGTGCAAGTTTTTCTTGTTCTAATTGTTAATGGTTTTTTCCATTTACTAGACAATTCCGGTAGGCGTATCAATGATTTATCGGCATTGCTAAGTCGAGTCGGGGTTTCTATTTTTTATTTGTCAACTTATCAAGAAGATTTTGTGCTTGTGAGTATTTTCAATTTGGATTGATAAAAGATGAAGAATCAATTATTAAAAATTCGCTCATAATAATAGGTAAAAGAGAAACGAATTCCTCTTGTAATTTCGACTCTCCAACCATTATTTAATTTCATGGATATTGAGACTCCGGAAAATCTCACTATTCAAAAATCAGTCTCGGAAAACCAGCAACAAATAGCTATAACAACACCACCGGCTGAAGAAGAGGAAGAATTTTGTTTTCCTGTAGGATCTGAGCCGATCAATATTTGCGATTATCTCAAGCCACATACTTCAACTCCTCTGAGTCATGCTTCTAAAGATTCGATTCTAAGTACGAGTCCGGTTTTTTTCACGTCCAATTTCGCCGAGAAATATCCAATAACTAAATTTGAGAATGAAGAGGAGACGATGGCTGAGATTCGCAAGCAATGTCCTAAACGTGTTACAGGACATCGATTACGATTAGTTGGATTAAATCGGTGAGTAGATGATTGATTGTAAGAATTATGAATTTGGTTTTTTAAGACAATTAACATATCTATTGTCTTTATTGAATAGGGAGTTTATGGAGCATATGAGTATTATTCTCATAAAGATTTTATTTTTTCCTGAACTCCTTGAAAAGCCTGGTGATTCCAATAACGAAAGGTAATCAACTTATCATTCTTATTATGCTGTAGATGATTTTTGAGATATTTAATGTTTATTTTATTGGATTACAGTGCATTATCAGCTCAATCTCGGTTCCTTTCATACACTGCAACTGCGGACGGTATTTCACTAGTGACCGATGAATCGGTGCTTGACGAGTTTCCTGAGCACATGTTAAACATGAGTAGTGTTCCAATACCACTTAGGTGCATTCAAATGGACTTATCACGTACGGGATCTTTGGGTATGTGTTGTAGGTGCAGGCCATGAGGGGTGTCAATTTATCTCAAAGTTTTAGTATATATGTCGAACAGATAAATACGGAATCGTTTATTCTATATCTAATCCTTTGATATCGAGCGGTATTAATTTGTTGTATTTGAGCACTTATAAGACTGCCAACGTATTGGTGAGTTATTTTTTTATTCTTTGAACTCATTGTTGTAAAGATTATTAAAGTGGTAAGCGATGACTAATGATTTTTTTTTTATGTGGCAATAGGTGCAAGATAGTGACTTGGAGGAATCACTTCGAATCCTGGATAACGTCGATGCAGAAACTCAACTTGAAAGAGAAACTTACGAGGAACTTGAATAGCAAAGGCAAATAATACAATACATCATCATTATATAGATATCAATGTATGTATGCTTGTGTGTTAAGGTAATTGATATTTTAATTATATTGAAATTGAAACATCAGTCTAATGTTACATGAAGATATGGCAATAAAATATTTTTGTAGTTTTTAGACTTTATATAAACAGCTCGTAAAAAAATGATTTCAATTTTCACGAATTGACGAATATTTTTTAATCTAAATTTATAATTAATGAAATCGATATGTAAGTATTATAAGAAGATAATTATTTGGAAAATGATTATAGTGTTGGAAAATGATCTGATCATTTAGGTCATTTGGTTATCTTAATTTTTAAATAACTAGTTAACTTATCAAGATCATTTGGGTCATTCAGGAAATTTGTTAGCATTGTTATTTGGATTATATATTTAATAGACTAATGCTTCAAAATACTATTTCAGACTTATACATTCTTGTATTGTTCAACCACAAAAGAAAATAAACATCATTTTTATCATTTTTTACTCAACATTTTTCATTTTTATATGCTTAGTTTTGTGAATTTGTTGCCAATGTGATTAATTGATGTTCAAATAAAAATGCAATAAATGTGGGGAATCATGATAAAAAATGGGTTATGGTGAAAATTTGCAATATCTATTATAATAAACTATGAATAACAATTATATTATTAATTTACATAGTATATTGTTACCGTTTTAATATGACTTTTGGTTCTGTCATGAGAGTACACATGATAGAATCAGATGGGAGAGTTGACGTATTAAATAACTTTAAGTTGGGAGAGTTTACTAAGTTATCTAAAGGTAGGTAATGTATGTTCGTTTTGTTGGTCAGCTAGAATGAGACCAGAAAGATTCAAAGGTAATAGTGTTTTTATTATAAATCAATT